CTAACTCTAATCCTTCCCCCTTTTCCCTTTATGTCAGTTTGTATTTTATTCTGAGGGTTGTGTATTCAAAATTAATAAAGCTATATTTTTTAAAAAGGGAAAAAATAGCTTCAGACATATTGGATTTGGGTCCCTTGCACCTTCAAAATGCGTTCAGATTCATTGTAGTTTGGGCAGAGAATCATTCCCTTTGCATGAGTTGCTCTTCAATCCGGTTATGCCCATGCTGGTTGGGGATGATGGACGTTTTAGACCCCTGCATTTAAAGGGTAGGGAAATTATCTTAGGGCAGGGGTCAGCAAACTGCGGCTCTGGAGCCACATGTGGCTCTTTCCTCCCTCTGCTGCGGCTCCACTGGTTGGCACCACAATTTTGAGAGGAGCTTCGGGGGGGGGAGCACAGTGCACCAGGAGAAGACTCTAAGGCAAGGGGAGGGTTTTCCAGTTGTCTCCACAATTGATAGGGCTTTCTGTTATGACAGGTAGAGGAAAAAAGTATGCTGTGCTAGGAGGAGACTCTATGGTGGGGGGACTGAACTTCCGGTCAGCTCCAGAATTGAACAGGGGGCTTCCGGTTAGGACCTTTGTGGCTCCCGGTGTTTTCTTTTCTGTGGGAAACGGGTCCAAATGGCTCTTTGAGTGTTTAAGTTTGCCGATCCCTATCCTAGGGAATAATTTCTATTCAATTATTTCCTTCCTGCCACCTTTGGATTAAATTGTTGCTGAATTTTATTTCCTAACCCAGGGTGAGGCAGAGTTTGCTCGAATCATGAGCATTGTGGATCCCAATCGCATTGGAGTGGTGACATTCCAGGCCTTCATTGACTTCATGTCCCGGGAAACAGCAGATACTGATACAGCTGACCAAGTTATGGCCTCTTTCAAGATCCTGGCTGGAGATAAAGTGAGTTCAGGTTGAATGAAAAGAATGCTGACTTGTGGCAGTGTTTAAGCTTGATTTCAGGTTATAATATAAATGCAAAAGGAAGATTATAGTGGCCACTATCTTACTGTGAACAGATAATGTGGTTTTTATTGAAATACTTGAGTATCTGAAACTTTCCTTCAATTCATCAATATCTTATTTCTGCTTGAAGCCGTAAAAGTGGAATGGAACGTTTAACAATGGATTGAATGTCTTACACATTCTCTCTTAAATATGTTTATTGAATTCATATCACTATGATAAGTAAAAAACAACTCTGTATGCATATATATACACCCAGGCATTCAAGCCTGTATGTGCCTGATCCCTCTCTACCTCAGGGCTGTCAAACTCGCAGCCCACGGCCTGCACGTGTCACGTGCTGGCCCCACCCCCACCCAGTTTAGCAAGGGGGGAAGTTCTGATACGTCACGTGACGACACCAAGACAACCCGAGTTTGGCACCCCTGCTCTAGCTATTCCGCTGTTATGATGGGATGGGCAGAGGCAATCTATGTCTTTGGCATTCATGACAAGGATTCAAAGGCCAAGTGAGAATAAATGTCTCAAGTTATTAGTTGTCAGTTATATTCATACTATAGACTTGTGCTGGTAATTTTCAACTTAGGGCCACAACTGGAACCAGAATTGTGATCACTAAGCAAAATTAAATTTTGGGATTAGAGACAAGTTTACAGCCCATTTTCTCCCTCCCTCCCTCCCCCCCTCTCTCTCTTTCTATAATACATCCAATTAAAAAGGATTTGAGTTAAACTGTTTAGCAAATAATGTCTGCTTGATATCAATAAGCTAAAGCTTCTAATAAACTGAAATGGAAAATGGTCATCTGTGTATTCTCTTGCAGAACTATATCACTGTGGATGAATTACGGCGGGAGCTGCCTCCAGATCAAGCTGAATATTGCATTGCTAGAATGGCACCTTATACTGGGCTGGATTCTGTACCTGGTGCCCTGGACTACATGTCTTTCTCGACAGCTCTCTATGGCGAAAGTGACCTTTAACCTCTCTATCCACATCACCTGACCTTGTTCCATCCAGGTGCACTTTTCGTTCTGTCTGCAAGCAGGCTCTGAGCTACCTTCTTGTTCCCCTTCTTGCTTCCACATCAAAGAACAGCTTTCCTTTGGGATGGGCGGGGAAGGTCTTGGAATGAAATAGCCAATCACAGCCTTGAAAAAGGGCGGTTCCCAAAATTTGCAGGGGGAAGCGGGACGAGGTTACATTTAAGCAAACTTATTTTATTATAGAAAAAGTATTTTTCTCCAAGGTTGAAGCATAAATAGAAAAAAGTTTAAAGTATTACACCAAATATGGCTGGTGAGAAAGTCCCCACCCCCTTTTTTTTTTCTTTTGTTCCAACATAGGAAATGAAGGTCAGTGTTGTATTCCATTCTTATACCTGAAGCCTGGCACGCTTCTTCTATCCTGAGTCAACTTTCTCACCTGTCTCTTATTTCTTTATCGTATTGTTTTACAGAGGAGGAGATGGGCAAATGCATGTATTGCTGGTTCACTCATTTCATGAAAATATTTTACAATAAAACTTTTTGAGATTGCTGTGTTTTTTTTAGGGAAAAATAATGTACACAGCTCATGTTTTCATATTTAATTAAAATTACAATCTGCCTACCTGTGTATTGTTGCTGAAACTTGTCTGGTCCCCAAATATGGCGCTTGAGAGTTGGCATCTTTGATATTGCTTGTCACAGACCATATTAAAAAAAAAATCTTGTAATAACAAATCTAGACGTCATTATTTTGTCTGTTTCGCTTACTAAACTCTGTTTAGCTGCATGTTTAAATACATATTTGATCATGTGGAAAGGTACAATATTCAAATATTATCACCCAAAATGTATCCCCCTTTCTCCTTTGAATGCGTTGATGTTTATATTCCTAGTGTTACCAAGTCTAGGCTGAGAAGCTAAACAGCATGTGTCTGAGAAACTCCTAGGGAGTATCGGGGCAGTATGCTAAACAGGAGGTCAAAGAATTATCCTGGAAAACAGCAGCTGCACTTCCATGCTGTTGCCAAGAGAACTATCAGTGAAGTCACTGTGAGACATCTGCCTTGATAAGCTATCTCTCATTCTTGTCATTCAAAGACAGACTTTAATCTCGCATACTCTTACTATTCTACATTTGATTCTAAATAAGAAAATACCACGCATAAAAATTAGATTTTAAAAAATACATTATCAACATATGTCTCTTTTCCTAACCAATCAATCAATCTACTACCTGTGAGGAAGAAGTGTTTTTCTCCTTTACCAGATTTTCCCCCAAGAGTATTTGGGTCTGTGTAGGTGATATGGATTCTTGTTAGAGTACTATAATTTAATTGTTGTTCCAAAAATAAGATTCCTGCTTAAGCAGTAATCTACAAGTCCACAGGGGGCACCCTGTTTTTTCCCCCTTGGTTTTATCCAATAACACTAAGGCTGATTACAAGAATCCTGCTTCTGAATACCCTCCACTGCTTTATCTTTATTGCGATAACATCCCTTTATTGGGTATTATGTCATTGCAATATGTGTGTGTGTGTGTGTGTGTGTGTGTGTGTGTGTGTGTGTGTGTCTGTGTGTACTTCTTGTTCTTAAGGCAGTAATAGATTTAGATCTCTGGTAAAAGCTCAGGAAAATATTTTTGAGAATATCTAGAAGGAAACGCTTTTACATACACACACACATCAGATATTTTATTTCTTCCATCAGCTTAGTGATGCTCTTAGTTAACTATTTATTATGCCTTGCATGATCTGAAGGTGGCATATTTGAAATTAAAGTTGAATGCAGCTTAGAAGTTCCATTACAAACTTCCCTAAAAGCTCATTGTGGTTATATCAATCAGTTTTCTTTCATAATTTCATGAGGCTTACTTTCAAACACAGTTGGGTTGCAGGTAGCTAGACAGGCAGATAGGATATATATGTGAATCATGTGAAGTTAATCATTTAGTAGTATTCTACTGGAGTTCCTGCCAAACCTCATATTTTATATAATAGGAAAGGACAGCATTTTTCGGATACTGGTAACTTCATCAATAAGCTAACTAGTATTGCCAGTGACTAAATATACTGAAATAACATGTAGTTGAGCAGTATCTGAAGGGCCACATGTTGCATCTTCCTGCCATACAGCCTAATCTGTTGAAGGGAGGGGTATTTTATGTCAAATATTTGAGGAATAAGTGAGCATATTTGTGTATTTAAAATTATCCCCTTCTATCACTTCTGAGCTCTCAATAATACAAAATGGTGTTAAAATTTCAAACACTGAAATAAAATCATAGAGATGAAAGATTGTTTCAAACAAATGATTGTTCAACCTTTGAAAACTTGAGATAAATCACCTTCGGCTGCCCAAGGCAAGCAGAAGGAAGAAGAAATTCCTCATTTTGAACATAGAGCTTCTACCTATTGGTTCTGGTCCTACCCTTGGGTGCTATGGAGAATGAATCCACACTTTCCCTGTGACAGCCCTTAAACTCTCAGGAGATGGCTGTGTCTCCCCTTTGCCTTTTCTTAAGGCTAAACACACTCAGTTCCTTTAACCATTCTTCATAGGATTGACCTCCAAGTACTTCACCATCTCTGGTCCTCTGCATTCTTTCCAGTGCTGTTGCGCATCCTCTTTATATTATGGCAACCCAAACTGACACGCTATTCCAGGTGCAATCTGACCAGTGCAGAGTGGAAGTAGCATTTCCCCTCATCCTGACATTATACTTCTGTTGGTGCAGCCCGGGGTGGCAGATTCAGTGGTAGCACCCTTCTCACAAGCCAGTGGTGGGATTCAATTTTTTTTAACTACAGGTTCTGTGGGCGTTGCTTGGTGGGCGTGGCAAAGGAAGGATACTGTAAAATCTCAATTCCCTTCCCACTCCAGGGGAAGGTTACTGCAAAATCCCCATTTCCACCCATATTAGCTGGGACTCGGGAGGCAGAGAATAGATGGGGACAGGGCCAGTCAGAGGTGGTATTTACCAGTTCTCCATACTACTCAAAATTTCCACTATTGATTCTCCAGAACTGGTCAGAACCTGCTGAATACCACCTCTGTCACAAGCACTATAAATTACATTGCTTGCAGCTCTGATATTTTTTTTAAATTTCAAATGTAAACAGTTTTAACTATTGAACTGTATATTCTTGGGAAAGGTTCGATCTTCAATTTTAATATACAATATAAATGAAAAACATACACACACATCTTGCAGCTTTTCCAGGGATACTCCAGTAATCTCTTTTGATCCCATCAATTCAAATTGGTCATTGATTTTCCATCCCACTTCCCTCAACTTAATACAATTATTTTTTCTCATTCATAATCTCTTCATGCCACATACCCAAAGTAATAAATTTCAGTTTGCCTGCTCTTCCCCCCCCTATGGAACAAGGTTATTTTATTTGGTTAGGATTGAGTAATTGGTTCTTCTTAAAGTTCATTGGTTCTCAATAAACATTTCCAAATTTAGAATTTGAAGATATTGTAATTCTCTCACTCTTGGTCTTCAGCATGCATTACCTTTGGAAAGACCATTGCATTAACTATTTTGATCTTTATTGTCCTTAAATGTACTTATCCTTTAAAGCAGAGGTCTGCAAACTTGGCAATTTCAGACTTGTGGCTGGCTGAGGAATTCTGGGANAACAAAGCAATTAACTGCCTTTGCTTTCCCCATTTTGTTTTTCTGAAAACACATGTTTTCTATAAGAAATATCAGGATATTTTTTGCTTTAGTTTGGAGCCTGCCAGCTCCCTTTCTAATTTTGTCTAAAAGTAATATTTGAAATACAGGTAGTCTTCGACTTATGACCACAACTGAGTCCAAAATGTATATTGTTAAGGGAGAAAAGTGCTCCTTTTTATGACTTTTCTTGCCACATTTGTTAAGTGAATCAATCACTGCAGTTGTTAGTAACTTAGTAACACAGTTGTTAAATGAATCTGGTTTCCCCCCTGATTTTGCTGATCAGAAAGTTGCAAAAGATGAGCACATGGCCCCAGGACACTGCAATCATCATAAAAATAAACCAGTTGTCAAGCATCTGAATGTTGGAGAGGCTGCTTATGACCGTTGGGTCATAAGTGTGAAAAATGAACTGTTGTAAGAAGAGGACTTCATGTACTTCAAAATGAGTGTAGGACAGAAAGCTTGGCAGGTCCCAAGTGAGGAATCTTTAGGCTTGTTCGTCTCCATGACCACCATGTTGGAGATCCCAGCGGCAAAGATAAAGCCCTGAAGCGTATTAAAAAAGGCTTTGCCATCACTGTGTCTGGCAGTAATTACAGTATGCCAACTGCTGTTTCCAAGACTGTCTCGGGCCCCAGTCATTTGCTTTAGAGACCCAGGATTTCCCGCCCTCATTGTCAGAATGTTGAAATACAATACTGTTGCATCAACCTCTCTGTTGATGTTGTGTATGTGTGCAATTAATGAAAAAGCTGGTTTATGTATGGCCCAATTCCAAATCGGCATGTTCTATAAAGCAAAGAGTTACCTGCTGACATTTAATAGAATGAATAACTTGGCCATAAAATCTAGAAATACCTTTATCCCGAAGGTGGTTGTTTTTTATTATTATTACTGACAGCTGTATTGATCTTAGCCACATATGTAGACCTTCTCCAGGAAGTCTATCCTCATCTGGGCCCTTCAGGAATCTCAATGGTGCACTCATCTTCACTCTAATGCAGTCGTTCTCTTCTTCTCTTTCCTTCCACTTTCCCAGCATTTTTGATTTTTGAAGGAAGATGGATCTTCCTATTTTCCTATTAACAAACTTCATTAAAAGGCATGTTTTTGTTCGCTGCAGTTTACAGTAGTTTATGCCTCTTTATAAAATTTGTTAATCTGAAAAGGTGCTACCAGACTCTTGATGTTTTGTTTCTGTAGACTAACACAGTTTTCTCAAATGTTATGTTAAGTAACGTTTGTTTCATTTGACGTCATTTGAATTCGGCATCAAATACTGTCCTTCATCTTAAGATGTCTGGAAATAAGTTACCTTTGTTGTTGTTTTCCCTTCCAGCATATCCGAGTGGGTTGGGAGCAACTCCTCACAACAATTGCTAGAACTATCAATGAAGTGGAAAACCAGATTTTGACTCGGGATGCCAAAGGAATTAGCCAGGAACAGATGAATGAATTCCGTGCCTCCTTCAATCACTTTGACAGGGTAAGAAGGAAAGAAATAGCAATACATGTAAGCACTCAAGAGTAGGTCTCCTTGGGCTGAATGAAAATTGGAAGTCCCAAATCCTAGTGCTAGCCCAAATATTATTTTGAAATTCTCAAATTTTGGCTCAATAGCTCTTCTCAGATAAAAATGTAAAGGCCCAGTTTTATTAGGTGAGTCTTAGTAGCTAATGATCACAAGATTATTCTTTTAATGTATCAATTTATTTATATGTAATTCCATAGCTAAATTTATATATGTTAGTTGTACAACTATCCTCAGGGAATACACTTCAACAATGTATTGCAATATTTTACAACTTAAACAGCATCATTCCCCATTTATAAGCCTTTTTGCTAGATTTAAGCCAAGTTCTTCACTTAAAGCATATATGCCACTAAAATCAGAGCAAATTGGTTTTGGTGTAGGCAAGCAGTTGTGTCTTCCTTTCAGAAACACTCTCTGTTCTTGGCAGTATCTCCTCAGTCTCACATTTGTTTTTACCTCAGGAGGATTCTTAGGACTTTTTCTCAAAAAGACCAAGGCCAACTTTTATAATAT